TGGTTGTCTGTGCTGCCCGCCGGGCGCCGCCGGGTTCCGGTGCACTTCCTCCGCCCTCCCCGGGCCCTTTCCCGAGCCCGCTGTTGGTGGGGGGTGCGTTTTCAGGCTGAGCTACAGGGTAGAAGAGGCCGGGACGGCAGCGAAGAAGATGCCGGCGAAACCCGACTTCCAAGCTAAAGCGTTATTTGATAGTCCCCGGGATTTCTGGTCTTGTATATAAACGGGTAACGTTACCGCTTCTCTGACCGTGGAGCCTCGAGTAAAGCCGCACTGACGAGGACTGGGGACTCCAGTTATTTTCACCTCTATTCACTTAGTGATCAAATCATGCCAAGGTCTTTCCAAGTGATCCGATCATGCCAAGCACTCTTCCATGCTACCTCATACTGGTGTGTTTAGGACACCATTACTAAACCCTTTTCGGATAAAGAAACCAGCTTTATATATAGGAACGAAGTGCATTCCTTCCAGCAGTATGGTGACATCACGCATGCATTCTCCATCAGTGCATGCTCAAACTTAAAAGAGCAGATGGACTTAGCAGTGAAACCCTGGCTGCAAGCTGCCCCAAAGTTTATATGTAAAATATATATGATATATATAGTTCATTTGTGGGAGCGCGTGTATATATATATATATATATATATATATGACCTATATGGCTTTCTGACCACAGTGATCCTGGCCCTGACACGGCTCATCATCATCAGCGTAGCGCTGTCGTGGAAGCTGGCCAAAATGATTGAGGACAGGGAGCAAGAGTAGAAGTAACAGAAATGCCAAGACGCAAGTGCACACGCACGGTTATAAAATATACATACAGTATGCTTGTATGCGTGCGTGTGTGTACATAGCAAAGAAAGGAACATTGATGCTGATAATGTAATATAAACACTGAAAATGGAATAATTGCTTGCACAAAAGCAGAGCAGGCTCCTGTGAAGAATCTTGGACTGGCTGATTTATTTTGGTCTATGTGGTCAATATATAAAAGGGAGAAGGGATGAGCCAGGTAACTTTAGACCAGTCAGTCTTATCTCTGTTCCTGGGAAAATGCTAGAGAAAATAATCAAAGTGTTGTAGGTGTCGGGGCCGAGGGGCTGTGGCCAGCAGCCTGGGCACGTGGGCCGGGGAAAAGGTCGGCACGGCGAACTAGAATTAGGCACTGACGTGTAGAGGTTGATTAAAGATTGTTTTACTTACACCGTAGGTGGTCGCGGTGCAGGCAGGAAAAACTTTCTTGAGTTGCAGTTACAAAAAGACACGCGTGGAGTTTGCTAGGCTCCACAAAACAAACACGAACAGAGCTCTGGATACACACTCACGGAGTTTGCTAGGCTCCGTGGAATGACCGAAATGAGAGTCCGAAAGGTGACTCTCGACAAGCATGTGGGGTAGGGTACGTCGAGGGATCGTGCGGCGACGGGGAGAGAGTCTTGGGAGGTGATCAAACCACCGGGCGGCTCCCA